CCTCTAACATAACTCTTCATAAATTCACCTGCTTTAAAAACTCAAACTTTTAAAAATATTTTTAAATTTCTGTCCAATTTTTATAAAAATAGAGATCAATTTTTATTAAATATGAAAAAGAAACCATATGTTTATGGTGATTTGAGTAAAGGTCATTTCCAAATGAAAAACAACAAATTAGGAAATAAATCTTACTACAATTTTGCTTTCCAATATATGAGTTCCATTTGATCAAAATGGAACTCATAAATAACTTTTATAATCTTTACCAACTTCATCAAAAGAACATGAATGTGTAACATTTTTTTCATTTTGAAACTTTTATTATCAAAAATTTGAATGCCCACAAATTTTTGTTGCTTTGTCAAGAACGCTGAGCTGAATTTTTTTGTATCAGGATATAATGATTTGATGATGTGCATAATAAAATAATTCTAATCAGTTTCATACATGTGATAAAACACAGTACATGATAATGCAATCATACTTTTATATAGATGAAAATGTACAAAATATACAATGAAGAGTGTTACTTGAGCTGATTATATAGACATTTGAGCTGGATAATATACATAAAGCGTACAATAAATTATATTGTATGGATTACTGTAGTCTATACAATTAATGTATATTCAACTCTTATACTTTGTTCAATTAAAATTCATACATTTAAATATAAAGAATACACTCGAAATTAATCTAGATTTTAATTATATAAAAGATCATCAAAATACGTGTTTCTTGAAGTAATGGAATGAAAGATGTTATTATTAATTCAAACTACAATCTCAAGATTTATTGAATAAGTTTTAAATCAGTACAAAACCAACAAAATAGTTAATTGTGCTGTGATGATAGATATTTTTCATATCACATATTTAAAGCAATATTGTTAAAATGAAGACAGAAAGAAGACATACTATTTAATATTAATCAAACACAGATGATTTAAATGAATAATATAGCTCAATACATATGTAAATATATTTTACACTAAAATTCATTAAGTAAATTTTATTACTTACTATCGAAATAAAATTTAACATTCTCATAAAAATTCAAATCTTTATAGCATTCATTGCTTTATATCTACACAATCATTTGTACCAAAAAGTTGATATGCCGGACCATTGTGACCGCTTTAACGCCGCCCGGGGACCTCGAATCACCGAGCACAAGGTTAAGAGCCTTGCGCTCTACCAACTGAGCTAGGGCGGCCGTACGTGAAATTTGCAAACGTTTGTAAACTTATAAAATATTCAAAAAACCTGTAAATTTATTTTAAGATATTGATAATGAAAATTTTAATTTTTTTAAAAACATTAGAAATTAAAATATGGAAGATCATGGCATTCTAATTAGTAAAATGGAAAGCTGGAAAATATCATAAAATTCAATCATGAGCCCGGTGAGATTAACTAAGACCAGTGTGAGTCACATCACATCAAAGTGTGACAAATTAGGTCCTACTTGTTCCGGACGTTAAGGAGAGAACTTACTTTGAGCTCCTGCTGTTTTTCCTCTTATTTGCACGCTTGGATGTTACTAGGTGGGAACAAGTTGTCTTCAAAGTTGGTGCGATCATTGATTACAATCGAATTTATCTTGTAAGAAGAAATAGAGAGTCAAGTTCGATGCTTGCTTTATTAATCTGAGTAGTTAGATAGACAAAATGATTTGCCAATGATTTGACAAGACGATGATTAGCATCTACATGACTGGACAAGTCGATGGGTAGTAGCGTCCTTTTTTTCGCAATGATCGTTCATTGCCTTTCATAGTTTGCAACATTATCATCCAAAAAAAGTGCGATTAGCGTCCATGAAACCTTAACAGTGATCCATCTGCCAAATCAGGAGTAACTCAGCTGAATGCTCATCTCCCGCATCTCCCTTAATATGTGGCGAAGCAAGTCATTGTGTTTACTTTGATCATATGTCATTTCTGGAGTTCCATTAACCTTGGGCTACCACTCATTTACATTGCGGTTAAGCCAGATGTGCATATATCTGTACATTTCTTTCTTCTCACACAGTACATACCAGTCGATAAGATTGCACCTCAGAATGTATCATACTTTTGTAATTTTCTAGCATGATGTAAATGCTTGTTAGACGAAGAGCGGGTCATTTGAAATGAATTCAGTAGAAATGACTCATTTCTAATGAATGAGCCCAACCTCGCCCGTAGCAACTGTTTCTTGATCCTTGATAATGACTTGCATTTATTTGAAAGTATATGAATAGCACTTTTATAGTATCAAACCTGAATGACATCATAAACTTAGTCAATTTTTAATTCGGAAACAATCAGCGTATATTGTAGGAAGCATGGTCTCTACATCATGGTATGAGATTAAGCAACGATTCACATGCGAAATTTTTTCGAAAACTGCTAAACAACTCTATTCTACCTTAAGAATGCGCTATACTTGAGTAAGGAAAAGTTATAAAATATAAGAATACATTTTCCTTGAATTTCAGGAGGACCCGAAGTTAAGTTTTTCAACTTAATTCAGATTCCAATTCTTTATTAAGTTCGAATTACATCGTAAAATATTTGAAAAGGACGATTGGCTCAGGTGCTAATCTCACTTTGCAAGAAAATGAGATAAGAGTGAAAGCATATCCCGAACTTATATTCATATCATGAAACTGCAATAATGAAAAGCCTAGAATTATCAAGCATCATACAACCCGCTCCTGTTTGTTTGAAAAACAAAATGACGTCTCACAAACTGAACAGTAAGAACTGTTAAATGATAGATAATCTAACCAAAAATCCCTGTGGTGAGGTTATAATTCGAGTTTGAACCATGATGGTCAACAGGGTTGGATTAGACGAAACCTGATCAGCTCCAGCCGGTATACAGGTGACCGTGGTTAATCAAGAATTTCTACACCATGGACCGTAGTGGGGCACGTTTGGCATTTTCAGCGACCAGCGAGGTCAGTGGTCTTCAAACGGCTCACCGTTCTTCGTCGCTTACCATCTTAGCGGGACATCCAGATTCTAGACAGCAGAACACGAACAGGATTCTCGGAGGATGATGAAACGAGAGATGAAAAGGCTCACTTAATCTAAATTTGAAAGTTGATCGTATCAGGGTCCGGGATATAATTATGCTTGGGTCAAGTCAGAGTAATCCACCAGCTTTCGCTGGAGCTCATCGTATGGTGTTTCGGTGAGAAAAAGTTCCAGATTTGGGACCCGATTAGCTGTCGCGGATGAGTCAGGCGCCTAGGTGTACACGTCAGGTTGAGTGAAAGGCTGAGCCATTGGCATCCTGGGAGATCTGGCGGGATCAGTTTCAGCCTCGCAACTCGCTGAGACGGGGGAGATTCGAATCAGACGCGATTGCATCACAGCGGATGTGAATGTCGTGTGAGCACCAACTTTAGCTTTAGCTTTAAAGGCCTTTCTCTCTGTCTGTACATAGCATCTGAATGAGTTGGGAATGAGTACCACGAGAAAGTCTCCATGCACACAAGTTTTACTTTCCTGGGCGTGGTTCCGGAGGACATGCTGGACGACGGGTTGACATTCGTATGTGTGACTTGGAGATATGGTGAAGTGAATGTCAGCCTTGGAAAACCCTATATTATCTCCTCGTTAGGAATCCGCCGTCCGAGTCCAGTCAGTCATCACACCTGAGCTGCTCTGTCTCGGACTCTCGGTTGAGTGGACTGGTAACTCTGATCCAACGTCGTCCATGAGCTACACAGCGTGTACCGATCTCTGATTCGTCATTTTTCGCCTTCAGGGTCTGACGTGCATGCTTGCATTTGGATGGTGAGAATTTCAGAGTCGTTCCAGTTTCCATGGTCCTGGAGGTCGGCTGATGATGTGACCACTAAGTACGAAGGCCTTCGTGTCTTTTAAAGGGCTTCCCAAAAGATGATGTTTTTTCATGTGATAGAATCGCAATCTTCTTATTTGTATGATCCGAGGGCTCATACTTGGAAAGCAAAATCCGTCATCACGAGACCACGTAAGGATTGTGTGAAAAAGACGAAGATAAGAGCATCATCATTATCAACTAAAATGAAGAAAACTTAGAAGGAAAACTAGAAAGCCATGTCTCGCATATGTTGATATTCAAAGACAACGATAATCATGACAAACATGAAGTGCAAAAATCACTTCATCATATGTGGAATTTGAAGCACTTCTGAAAACAAGTGAACGGGATATCAAACTCTGCTTAAAATTTCAGAAAATGAAAAACCACAAAATTTCCTAAAGTGCACAGCCAAGACAAGACCCATGTGAAAATAATGATCTGCAGAGCATTCAAAGGAGTGGAGATTCGTGAATGCAAATAAATTTCGTGGCTTACGAACTCACGTGAAAAGATTTTATCATACTCGTGAAGTTCTTCATGCATGTAGTGTGTTTCAATGCTAGACACAGATCATCTATCGATAGTATGTAAAAGGACTTTAAATTTGAGTGTCAACGGATTTGGAATATGCAAACGTCCATCAATTCACATAGATGGATGACCGTATGAGTGGGCAAAGTATATGCTATCATGATGAGCTGTGGTTGATTGAGATCGAGTGAAGTCACAGGATAATACTCCACAAGTTGAACTTGGTAGACTGGAGAACCCGGAGCTTATGACCTCTTCTCCCTGAAATGCTCATGAGACCATTTACCGGCCCATCTCAGGCTTTGACGCAACAAAGGTTGATTGCGCTCGTGAGTTTGTGCAGTGTGTCGGGATCCCTCCCGGTGCCCCCTGGCATCCACGGTTGACAATGTCCGATAGGAGGGATCACGCGAGGAAAATGTTCGGTCATGACTCCGAAGGTGGAGATATCGATAACCATTCTAATGGATTTTTTAATGGTAGGTGAGCTACTCTGCGTTAAAAACCAAGCCGAGAAAACGAACGAAAAGAGAAGCACCATGCGATGACATTGCTGAAAAGAAACAGTTGTAACTCGTATCTTCGGGAGAGAGGTGGTATTTTCTGCCAGTCTCGATGGGGTATGGGTTGCCCAAATGGAGTGCGTTCATTTGTCCACGAATCTCTCGAGTACGGTATGCGCGAGTGAGTATTAATAAGATCTGGAGTTTGACCGAAGACGGCCTGGCCTTAACCTCAGACACAGCGGAGAAGACAGAACCCTAATTCTCCACAGAAACCTAGCTCAGGGTCCGAAGCCTCACTCCGAAGCTTCTTCCGGCCCTGGAAGCAGGTCTCGCGAGTCTCGAAGCGCCAACATAAGAGTCCGGATGCTGGATGGCGAGCAAGCTGACCGGCACGGACCAGATACATTGAGCGACTTTGCGTAGCGCCACGTAGAGCAGCTCTGAGACGCAGAACAATGGGCGAGTGCGCGTCCAATGGAACAGCAACATGACGCCAGTTCCTATTCAGTTGAGAACGTGGCAAATTGCCATTCAGCGTCGGGCAGATGCGTACGTTCTGGTTCGTTGCGGTCGCAGCTCGGGCGCAAGTGGAACTATAAATTTATTTGAACGCTCGAGATTTTACTTGCCGGGCACATTGCGCAGGCGCCAGGGAGATCTGGTGCGGGTTGTTTGTCCACAGCGGACACGGTCACATGGCGAAAGTAAAATGAACTGGCGCATGTCCCGGTCATTCTTCGAAGCTGGACGTTTCTTTATTCATGATGTCATTTTTGTTGACCCAAGCATTGTGACTCGACAGAACGAGCCCCCCGGTACACATTGCGTGGAGGTTCATTTGTCATGCTTTGTCCTTCTGTACTTGTGACAGTTCGGTTCTTCCACCGGACTCCTCTGGTAGATTGTTGTGCAGTTCGTTATGTTTGGGTTTCACGTACATGCTAATGGATATGTGTCTACTGCTTGTTGTCAACACACACAACCTTCTTCAGTGTACGAGAGTTTACTGCCATCACTCTCCTCCGGTCTAAACGCTGAACCATTTACTTTTACAAGACCTTTGCTCGCTAGCTAACATACGTAAAATGTGACCCTATCGATGACACTTTACTAGATGCCGGACACGACGGCTTTCACTGTTTGAGCGAAAATCCAGACCGATTGTTCCTGATCATCAAGGGCAAGCGGCAATATGTGCTATTCAATCAATGAGGAATCTGAGACGCCTCATCAAGATGGAGGTATCCGGCGAACTATTCAGGATTCACGTTCGCTGCATATATATGCAAATATATATTTATCGATGATCTGAATACACAAGTCAAGTTGTCTAGCCATTGTTCTGGGGACGCGTTGTCTGGGAACGCGTACATACTCCAAAAGTACGAACATTTATGAGCAGTCTCGGTATGAGGGTACCTCACCTCTTGGCAGATGGAAGGACGTAGGCTCGGGCTGAATCTTGACACAAGCACGCCGACAAGGAAGAGTACAAAGTACACCAGGCGAGCAAGCAAATGGTCGTGGAGAACCCCAGGCCAATAGTTTACAACAAACCCTCGCACTGTTACTGCAGTCTCGGCCCATTTTGCTCGTGCAAATTACGAACTCCATCGGTGCGCATCTTGCGTCCCATGCTCTTGTACTGTTTTACTTTCTCGTTCTCCATGTCACTGTCCGATTGTACGAAAAGCCCGGCACGTGTCAAGAAGGGAACAGGTCCGTCTCAAGGGAAATACGTCATCCCGATTGCCAGTCAGAGTCAGCAGCGTTTTGCCAAGTCACACCCAAACTGGAAATATCGGCAAAGCTAACTTCGGGCACTGAATTGATATTCGCTCATTATACAGAGAAAGAGCTCGACGATCAATGCCATTCTAAACTGCCCGTTCTCTTTCCGCTGTTTTATCGTTACGTGTTTCTCTCCGCAGAGGACAGATGAGTGAATTTTAAGACATGTCGAATGTTTCTTGAAGGCGTTTTGGCGAAGTATAACAGAATATCTTATTCTCACCCAGACTTGGAAAGAACACCAACATTACTCTATAAAAATATCTAAGTCTTTGTGTTTTTTCACATCTTCAAGTAAATCAACTCAAGGGAAAAGACTTTTGGCAAACATCATTCTGAAAATCATAGAATTTTTCTTGTAATGGACTTATTTAGATTTTTCCTCCATGTAATTTGTTCCTATGTTTTCGAATTATGTCACCATGGAAATATTCAATTTGTCACGTGTTCTCATGAAAAATTCCTTCTGAATATTCTATTTACAGTACCTCATGCTTGATCTTGTTGTTCAATCTAGCTCGAGTATCTGCCTCACCCGTTGTGGTATGTGTTGTGGATCATAAATCATGACAAGACAGCTCCCATTACATGCGTTTAAAAGAACAGCTAATCCCGATCTACTTGCCTTTTTTGAAGCAACATGTTTCTCAAACTTCAAATGACCAGTGTCGTAATTCGCTTACCACTTAGGGACAACATATGGATCAAAGACAAAAGGTTGCGCGCCACGTAAATTATTCCCCAGATTACAAATTTGTTCATACGGGCAACGCTCTACCTTTTTTCGTTGAATATCTTATGCATTACTCCATGCCCGGATCCTCGCTGGAGTTTCAAGTTTGGGACAAGTTGTGATTATTAAGTAGGAGTACACACAGCTTGGTATCAAATAGAACAATCACTGTCTCATCTTTGTTATATTATATACCCAAGTCTCTTTAGGGACACTACAGTATCCCCAATGATGCAAAGATGTTTAAGATGACCTATGTTTTCTTTTGTGACTGTAATGATCTTCCCCTATAATAGATGGCCCCACTTTTGCAAGGGAAGATAAACTTTTCCGCTGAATCTCTTGACATCCCGAGCACTGGCGTTAAGCCACCCAGTCGTTCCAATTCTCTGGGCTGGTGCTGGCTCGTGTTCATACTTTTGCCAGTTACATTTTTCATGTTGATTCAAGGTCATACATATATCACGCGAGAAAACTCTCAAATGCTATGGGCACTCCAAAGATTCCACATTATTGTCAAGGTAGCTTTGTTTGAACGAAAACAGAACCAAGGTTTTCAAATTTATAGTTCCCAATGTTTTTAATTATCTTATATATAATAGTCCATTAGTCAAAATTAGTCCGATATGACATCGCTCATTGGAAAGGGTAGTGCGCTTTGGTATTTTTATTTTATTTTGATGTAGGGCGACTGACGACGAGGCGCCGCTCGGTTTTATTCATCAAGATTTGGTGATGAACACCCTCAACGTCATCCCCTTGCACATGAGTGAAAACTTGTTGGCCCAAGTATTGAGAAGCACAGAAGTGCGTGTGTACACATCAGATTTGTCGTACAAGAATATGCCTAGGGGAAAGAATGTGGCATTTTAGGAATTTCCACTCAAAGCACTTTGCAGCAAACGCATGCATTGAGCAATGCTGTGAAGTATGAGGATGTTTTCCATCTTCCTCCAAAGCAAATTCATCGACTTTGTGACCTCGTGGTTCACAGTTTGATTGGAGAGCCAATAACACGGTTGAACCTGACCGTTGGAACGAGATTGTTCTTAACGTATCGTGGAACGTGTGATTTCCCGAGAGGCACTACAAGCCACAGATGTACTAATCTTATCAACAGCGTGACCACTAACCTCATGCTTTGGAACTTGAAAGCTAATAGCAGAAAGAATGTTGTAGATATTTCATTCTTTCAAAGATAGAAACATCACGTGCTGGTGTACGCCTTCTCCAGCTTCTCCGCGAATCCCAGCTCTCTCTTTCTCTGCCCAATCAAGTGTTGGCAGTCAAGCACCCTACTAGTGTACCAGTTTTCAAAACCAATAGCATACTGCCCACATTACGTGGAGTACGAAAAGAATTCATTTATACATTAGAGCTTCATCAATGTGTAATTTCTTCGGAACACGTCACATTATTCAGGTACTGTTTTTAAGAATTGAGTGTAGTTACTGTTGATTCTTGTCAACATTGTGGCGTTTACTGGGGAAAGTGGAATGTAGAATTAATCCTTCTTTACCCCCGAGTAATGTATGGTTACAATTCTGATAATGAGGTGCTTGGAACCTGAAGTCTTTTGTAGGTGCTTTGGTGCATAGATCGTTAACAGCGAGACGACTCCGACTTTACCACGTTCTTTCAGGATTCAAAGAGAAGCTAACGATTAACTTGAAAACAGTTTTATGCCCTAGGTGAAGTATTTTGGTTTGAGCTGGCCTAAACTGGGCACGTAGCCTGTTCGTGCATGAATATTTGGCCTATTCCAGGCTTGTCATGCTTTAGATAATGTCCCTCGATTTTTTCTTCTTTGACAGTTTTCTCTGCTGTCATTTTCACACTTGCAATGCCATGTAACTTCATTATCTTGTTGGGTATTCATCTGGCCACATGCTATCATCGACTCCTCGGCAGATTCTTAGTTACATTTTTTCTCATAGTGATGGTCGTTTAAGTCAGACTGTAGTATTTCTATAATATCGATCGAGTGCAAAAAATTCCAGTTTTTTCAATGAACAGAATAACGAACAACTTTTTTTGTATAATTATTTTATTTGGATCCATCTGCCCAATTGTTTTGTGTATTCGCAAATACGACATCATGTATAGGCCAAAACCCGGAATGCATACCATAGCATTTACAATATCATCTCACTTACAAGGGGTGAGCCTCATGCGCACAAATAAAATTTGCCCATATTTACACCTCATGGATCCATATACATCTTACAATGTTCCTACTAGTTTCAAAAATCTACGTTGGGTAAAACGACAATGTTTCACTTAATTTCGTAAGTTCAATTACAGCTTTATAATTCACACATGAGTGTGAGTAATTCATCTAATTTGGAGGAAATTTATTTTAATGTGTTATTTATTGTGACACTATATCTTATTACCTTTTATGGAGGTAGCGTTGGTATGGCTTGCAATGGACTGAGGTTCTTTTAGCATATATATACTTTGACATCATCAAAATATTGTGGAAATATTGGTGGTTATTAACCACCTCTTGAGACCGAAAGATCATACATTCTGAAGGATGAGCTACGCTGTTTTAGAAGTAGAAACTAACATGTCTAAATGTAGGGTTATGAAAAATTCATTTCTTTATTTCTTTAGTTTAAAGTTAAACGATGTATGAAACCATGCTTTTACTTCTTGTATAATCTGTATCAAGCAAGAATTAGTTCTAGCACCACGGCTATAAAGTGAGCAATAAAAGAGCAATCGCATTTGTAGACCCATTAGTTAAAATATATTGGGTGATAGATGACATGTTTTATGTTGAGATTAGATTGGGCCTAGCCAAATGTTACATTGGTTTCATACTTGTATCGCGTGATGTTTTGATAGTTTATTATGTCCTCACCTTCATGGGTGAGCTGGAATCGAGGGAAACATAATGTCGTCGAATTTGGAACATAACAATTTCACAATAACTCTTCGAGAAAAATATGGAAGAAGCCCATAACGAACGGATGTGGGTGCAGAATATACATGATGAGTAGGCCAGATCTGCTATGAGCCGTCGGTGAATGATTAGATCTACTTCAAGGGGTAGGTTTGATCTGGAATATCGTATCAGCAGCGATTAGAAATGACAAGGTTTGCTTTTGAACTGCCTGCTTTTGCTCTCCTATGCCACGAAACCGAGGCGCGTTGTTTGTCCTTGCTTCGTGGATGTGAGCCAAAACGCTCTGGAATGTTGTAGCATTGGGATGAGGGAATGGACTCTCCAGGGGAGACATGTAGGTGACTTCACGTGCTTCACCTCCAGCCAATTTCTTGCTGTTTTATCAACATTGTCGACTGGTTTTCCATCCATTCGCTAATAAGAATTAAAGTCATTCGGCGATCCAGGCCGAGAGATAGAAATCTTATTTTGTTTTCCTCGACAGCATGCACGCACGTCACCATTGTGGACCACAGGGGCCACTCTAGAAAGAAAAGCTTTGCTGCCAACCCCTTCAAAGCAAAACTTTTGCAATTCTTCGCTCTTTCCTTCTTCCTCCTCCAAGTTCATACATATCTAGTATTTCTTTGACCTTGATTGAGCATTTGAAGCAAGGAGCTGAAAGCTGTGCAGATGACAGCGGACCGAAGGTGGCGGAAATTGCTGCCGAACTTCCTTCCCACATATAGGTGGCTGCAGGTGACTCTCTGGTCTCTCGACTCTCAAACCTCACGA